TTAAAGTCGGCCATGGCATCATTCATCAATTCATTCATTGCAGCCTATAAAAGTCAGCTGGTGAATATAGACCTCCCCTATAGATTTACTCTTAAAAATAAACAATAAAAATTAGTAGCTCTTTCATTTAAAACGCTTAAGACTAAGTAATAAGGCTTAAAAGAATAAATAAAATTACTTGAAAATTGAGTTTTAGCCTTAAAAGCACTACTTTAAATAAAGATAAAGATAAAGCACAACGTTCATAAGCCGCGACGACGTTATAACGCAAATAAATTCGACGTATACTCATTGTAGTGTTGTAACAGGAAATTTAAAATATAAACTAAAACAGTCGAAGTGATTTAAATAATGAGATAGTAACACATTTTACGCTACATTTTAAAACAATGGGTTATTTTTATGGCTCATGATTGAGAATATCCGCTTTAGAATCAGCAATTCCGGAACTTCGTGATTATTTAAAAAATCAATCATAAAAAATTAGCCCTGATGATGTTAGATTAATGATATTTAAGACGCAACGGGACTGGATATAGGATTATTGGCGTGCCTAGTTTTCGTGTGCATGTTTTTAAAACGGAGGGAACCACTTGACCACTGAATATTAAAATAATGTTTCTTTATTTATAATTACTTTACTCCTGTTAGATAATTTTTTTCTTTTTATATAGAATTAAGGAGAACAAACAAGCACATAGTCCTCCTGATGGTAAGTGGCACTGTTGCCCATAGACATATATCTTTAATTAAAAATCAAAATGCAGATGTCGAGGACTGTTAAAGAATGCCTCGTTATTTATACAAAGGACTAGACTGTTGATAGCACGGCTAATTAAGCTAGTTGGCTGCGACATATATAAAAGTAAAGTAAAGATACAGGCTATATACGTCCTACTGCTGGGCACAGGCTTCCTCTCATTTCTTTTGGGCAAGGAATTAGTCCAGCCGGACGCTGCCCCCATGCGTGTTGGCGAACTTCACATGTCTTCGAAGTATTTTTTTCTTATTTTTCAGACATGCAGGTTTCCTCACGATGTTTTCCTTCACCGCCGAGCAGTTGGTAAATCAGCACTTAAAATTGCAATTAACAATTTCATTGGTGCCGGCGAGGATCGAAACCGGTTTGCTCGCGTACTGTGAAATTTACAGCAAGCGCTAACCATCTGATTGCCTTTTAAATGTTTTTGGATGTCTACGCATATCGCATACCCGCCTCACGGACATACACGGCCCCAAAAGCGCCGGGTGACGCACTAGAACACAAAGCGCGCTATTCACTGCGACTTTCAATTCCACCTGCGCAATAGACACGTGTTGTGTTGACACGTGGGAGGGTTACTTTTCCGTGGGCTTACCTAGTTTTTCCATTTTGACACGTCATCGACAACCAATCGATCTTATTAGCTTATAAATAAACAATCCGCGACTCATTTCTTCCGTAGGCTTCTATATATTTTTGCTATATTTTTTTCTATAATGTAGAATTTTCGTATACAATCATAAAGTTCAACCATTATCTGCTGACCCGTTGAATAATAAAAACTCCTGAATATACTTGGGCGTCTGCTTGTTACTGTACTAGAGCATTGGCTGGGGTAAAAACGTCCACATCATCTTCTGACCCCGCGTTGTTGTACTCGTAGGTGGTACAGGATGTAGCGGTGCGGGGTACGCGGATGTGGGGCACCGCGACAAGCATAGAATATATAAATTGTAGGTGCATAACACTACAGTAAATTTTACGGTGCAATTTATGCCTGAGGCGCGTGCCTTTGTATGATGCTGACGCTGCACTGGCGGACAATTAGTAGAGTAACGCGAGCCGCGTTAACCGCAATCCGCGGTCGTAAACCGCGTTAGGCGTGGGCACTTGGCCTGGGAATTTATCGATAATCAATCCATCGCAAATACTTAGCTTTGTGCCCACCAGAATTAAAATCACTTCCTATTAAGTTTGCGGGCGTTACCGCCTCCGCATATTAAGGGCCGCATATTAGTACTGAAATATAATGGTAAGTGGATGCTGTGGCTCATAGACATCTACATTTATTCTTGATTAAGTATCAAATACAGATACGTTGTCAATCCTGATGACAAAAATGGATTGCTTCGTTTCCAGAAAAAAGGGCCTCTGATTCACTGCACTAACCATAGGAAACACCAGAATTAAGCTGCTATTTTACGACGGTGTTTTGTGAAAGCGTGATCCTACCCCGGTCGAGCCGATTGATCCATTCGTGCTACAACCATAATATAGCTGCAGCGTGGCTCTACCACGTAAACACTATCACGAGACCACATTATTTTTAGATAAGTGCGAAAATGTTATCGCAAGTTTTGATAATAAAACAGCTTCGCTGCATATTTAGTCGCTGCGGACGCGGTTCAATATCGCTCTATGAGTTCTTGGGATGTAGGTTCAATTTTAAACATAGGCTGACATATACAAAATGACACTTGCTGGGCAATATCAAAATAATTGAAGATCAAATGAAGAGAAAGCTAAGAGATATATAGAAAAATTAAAATCCCGATTTCAGAATAAGAAATGATATTATTATTTTTATTTATTTGAAGTCTACTGTTCTTTTTTTTAAGTAAATTTTTTACTCTTTTATGATGGCTACGATATATCACAATATCAATGTTGGCTTTTTAGTTTTTTTTATATGTATATCATAGGGGGAAAACGAGCACGCGGCTCACCTGATTAAAAGTGTTGACCACCGCTCATGAACAACTGCAACACCAGTGGAATTGTGGTTCATGGGCGGCGTTCAGTTCCTTTAAACCTAACTTCATCCTCTATTTTTCCACTCCTACGAGTGAAACTTTTTCTCCAAAATTTATATGAGACCGCATATAAGTATTTTTTTAAAGTTGGCTAAAACAACCCTAATTAAGCTAAGGGTTGAATATTTTTTTCTCTCTGGGCACATAACGCATAAATGAAATAAAACAAAGCATAATTACCCTAATCACATATTATGTAACTATGAATTAAAAACTAAAATCTGAATAAAATGATTTTATATATGTCAGTCCTTTAAAAGTAAACATACAAAGTATTGTTGAATGAAAAAGGCTTTGTTGGGACAAAGCTATTTCTTTGACAATCGCGTAACACTGTTTTTGAATCTGCTAAAATATAACAAACCATTTTAAAAGAAATTTTTATCTTTGTGTAATTAAAATAGTGCAAAATTTCTGTATTAGGAACAAAACACAAGTATAAATACAATTAAAACACTAACTCTTACTTTTAGCTTCCCATTTGGTAACTAATTATAAAAATAATAAAGTGCTATGTAGAAAACAAAACAAGTGGCTTTAGATAGCAATTAGCTTTAGATAGCAAATAGCTGTTTTAGTTTTGCAAAAGAAATATAAAAAATATCTTTAAAAACGACCGTATTAAAATTGGTAACATCTAATTAAAACTTCTTACTTCTTTAACAGCTTCTTCCACACTGCTACGTAAATATTAAACCTTTTTATATATACTCTACTGTTTTACTTCAAAGATTTGCCCAAAACTCAACATGCTGGCTAAGCCGTCCAGTGCCGGTAACCTCGAACTGCTTCACATTACCAGTCTGTGGTATTTCAAATCGCCATTTGTTTATGAATGTACAACTATTATTTGGCCACCGGAGCCTAGCACTAGGTGCACCATGTGCAGATGAAATTGAAGTTTGGAGAAGAAATGAAAAAGAGAAGTGATGAGATGAAAAAGAATAAATACTTACACCCAAAATTTATACGAATATAATACAAAAATATAATACGATTAATTGGTGTTGATTACTATCAACACCAATTAATCGTATTATATTATGTTTCGTAAAACCGTTTTATTCAAATAAGTGCCAGACTATTATCCCATCTGATGATAAGTGGTAATAAAGCCGAAGACCGTCAAGTTCATGCCTTAGCTTGATAGCCTTAAAACAATGTAATCAGATGTAAAGGCCGTCTCTCCTGTATGCATTAACAACATCCCAAAGGTGTTGGGACTGGCTGCACGTTTGAATTTCCGACGGTTGAAAGCAGAGGGAGGAATGATAAGGTTAAGTTTTTTTACGTGATAGAGCAACGCAGAATCTTATTATAACTGAGGTATGAATCAATCCGGAGAAAAACCACGCAGTATAATGGAGCCTATTTGAGCTCTCGGTGACTAAGCATCTCATTGTTGGGTAAGGCCGTAGATTTTGCCACTTAGTAACATAGAGTAACATAGACACTTTTATGTTACGGTAACATAGAAGTAACGCGAAAGTAACGTGTAATGTTTGTAAGGCCGATTGCATAACGCGCTATTTTTATCCGACTTCAAAAAGGAGGAGGTTTCGACGCATAAGCTAACTGTACAATTCGCCAACTGTGAGAAGTTCAGTGATAGAAAAAAAAATAAGTTGAAAAATGTTTAAAACTATCAACAGCTTAGAGTTATTACACAACCATGAAATCTGACCAAGTTTACCAAATATCAGGAAAATAATACTACGATATAAGTGAAGTAACAAAAATATTTAATGCCATGGATAGAGTTTCACAAAAACTCTTCTAACGAAAACAAAAAAAAAACGAAATAACATTCATTATAATATGATTTAAACCTATAAAATAAGCTACACAATGAGATCAATAGTGTTTCGTGAAATCACAAAATTAGAACAATATAATCTTTCTCTAAAAGTTTTTACAATTATCACACGGGTTATCTTCTTAAATAAAATAGTAGGTACATTTCTAGGAAACTAACTAATATTGGTATTTATTTTCTTATAAAATTGACACGAAATGTTTCTTAGAATCTGTAGTTAAAAAATACTTTAGAAATACGAGTAGGTAATTACAACAAATTTAAAATTAAAAAAAAATCTCATAGCCAAATGAAATAACATAAATAAGTAAAAACAAAAACTACATAATTCTCTTTAACCTAGGTACAGACGCCATAACATCAACCTACCCCAATCTGTCAAATTTTCTCAATCGAAATGAATTCTTTTGTGGTAAAGTTGAAAATCTAGATAGATTGGGTGGGCTGGCGTCTGTACATAAGAGGTCATTGCATTACAAAACCTTTCTTACACCTTATAAATAAATATTCAACAATTAAAATAAACCAAATCAATATTCTACTCTCTCTACTCAGGTAATATTCTTTAGAGGCTTTCTCCCGTTGAATCAAATTTACCTTTTTGACGATAGAAATATTGGTCACTATATCAATATCTGATTTTCTTTGGACTACAAACTTCACGGAATCAGATAAATCCTTCACAGTTTTCAAAAATTTTACTTTATAATAATTTTCTCCGTTCTTAAATTCTATATTCTCAACAAATCCTATAAAATATTTCCACGTTTTCCTTTGGAAATATCGAACTATTATGCTATCATTCATATTTAAAGTAAAGTTCTGCGTATTTTCTTCACTCTCAATTGCTTTTGCTCCTTCTTCCTTTGTATTCGATTCCTTGTCACTTTCATCTTCTTTTAAATTCTCAGATTTGTTTATTTTATCTAAATCTGTTTTCTCCATTTGTTTATATTTATCTGCGTCTTGTAAAACTTCACCAGTATTATTTTGTCCTCTCATGCTTTCAAGTTGTTTTTTATATTCAGTCTCAATTGTATAATTTTCTTTATTTTCATCAGCTTCTTTTCTCTCTTCTTCTGCGATAACAATTAGAATTTCCTTGCTTTCATCTTTCTTAGTACATTCAATCTCAATTTTGTGCTTCTCTTCTATTAGAAACTTTTCTTTCAAATTCTTTTTGATCTTTTCTTTGGTATCATTTTTTTTCCCCTGTTCTGGTCGATTTTTCTTTTATCAGTCTCAATTTTGTTACTTCTTATTTCCTTTATCGGGTCTTCTTTTCCAAATAAATAACTCTCTCATAAATCATAACTTGCAGTATTTTCCGGGTTTTTTTCTTATTTGTGACAAAATTGTCACATCATCTTTCCTAGTAACATGTTTCGTAGTTTCGCAAAATCTTTTATGGATTAAATCTTCATTTTCACAAATTATTTTTCTTTTCCTTTCATGTTTAGGATTATTTTCAGCATTTTCTTTTCATTTTTTCTTTAAAATTATTGTGGATAGCAGAGTGACTTTCTTGTCTGGATTAATTTTTGGCCTCAGAACACCTGTTTTTTCGTCAATTTCTGTGATTTGATTGTTTTCATCGTCGTTAAAATCTGGACTTATTGACTCATCAGAAAAAAACGCCGAGGCGTTGCTTTCCGCATACTCTATACTATCATCATATTCATCTTCTTCGGTTGATGAACTGAAACGCCTTCGCCTAGTTTTATTGCTATTCTTTGAATTTTTAACTTCCTTTTTCTTTTCACATTTTCCTTGTTCATTCTATGTGTGTTTTTCGTTTGCGTAAATAGTGGGCAAAAAGCTATGAGCTACAGGTGAGTGACATTCACAGTTGCCTCTTGTTTTCAGTTTATATTTTTTCACAATGTTGTTATCCAAAACTTTTCTCAAAACATTCTTTTCGGTATTGTTAGCAGTTTGGAATTGTAATTTTAGTGACTTCGTTAGTACATCGTGTTCTAGTAGTTTCTTATTAACTTCTTTTTTTGGGAGTTTCAATGTTAGGTATGTTATTATTTATGAACTCTGTTACTTCTGTCATCGGTGTTTTCTCTTCTAATTCTCGCGTATATGTGTCCTTTGTTTCATCTGTCGTGATTAATCTAGTTAATAAATTTTCTTAATCTGCCTGCATCTTGTCTATTTTCTTTTGTTGTCTATTCGTTTTTTTCTGAACACTTTTGAAACCTTTAGTCAATGTGTTTAACTGTAATCTCAGTTGTGCAGTTTCTTGTTTCAGTCTGTATTCAATTCGGCGTTGCACATTACGGCAAGTTAATTGGTTATTATCTTGCTTGGAATTTAAAGTATGTGCCGTACCCGGTTCATTTTGTGATGCCATTTTTGCATCTTTTGCTTTTTTTCCGATCTTCCTTCCATTTATTCCGTAATTCTTGTTTGTGCTCTTCAGTATAGGTACTCTTTTTTTTCTCATAGTAACGTGCAGATCTTTCTTTGGCCTTCTTTTGTATTTCTTCATACTTTTGAGGGTTTTCTTTTTTCAACTTATCGCGATATTTTTTCTGCTTTTCAGCTGCAGTCGTCGGCGGCATCTGTGACAATGTTTATATTGTTTTATTGTTAATCAGAAAAGTAAAGGGATAGTATGGTTTAAGGGCTCTAATTCATTCATACAGTCATGTTTAATACATTGACTAAGGGTCACACTACCCGCCTCGCAACACATTTTTTTGTACGTATGTGTAACTCTCTTTAACGCTAATCGACATCCTTTGCTAGAAAGAGAAGACCGTTCGCGCGAATATCGAAGTAAACATTAAAAAAGTAAAAACAAACTTTTAAAAAAATACGTGGTAAACAGTTAGATTTGGTTTAATTTTTAGAAACAATTGGCATCGATATCCTTAATTGTTTTTCACAAAAGATTAAACTTTATTCTTTTTGAAGTCGTTTTTTACTTTTTTTGAGTTTATTTTATTTTTCCACTTAGTGGCACAAAAATATGGTTTAAAAACCTTTCTTTTTCAGTTTCCACGAATGTCCAAACTACTTAAATGACACAAATTAATTAAGGCAAATAAACTACTCTTGTCTTATGCGTTTTTTGAATTTCGTAAAAGAATCTATACCAATAAATAAAAGTATAAGTAGGTAATTAGTAACTGCTTGGAAACCAAATAAAAAAAATGCCCTCTGTATATCAAATAAAAAAATTACTGAGTGGATTGGTAAATATTTTTTACAAAAAAGTATATTTAATAAATTACATATGCACAAACCTTTACAACAGTAAAACGTTACGAAACATACAATCAACGTTACCAGTGACATCAAAGCTACATAGAAGTAACGTTGAAGTGCGATTTTTCAAGGTTATAAATGGACATAACTCGACATCAAGGTGAATTTTAAACATAGATACATTACCACGCACTTATTGGTTATTCGTGCATAATAATGTATAATATGTGAACAATAAAAACTGATATTTACCTTTGAAATCGCCAAAATTCACAATTAAAATTCACTGCCGAAACACACGCACCTTTGACAGACTTCCGACACGACAAGATGGCGTCTTTTTTTAAAAAAATTGTGCTGCCTGAATACTTAGTGTTGCCAGTGCAATTACAAAACACTATCAAACTGTTTTCAATGCTTTGTAAGGGAAAATTTTGGTAACATACAAAGTAGTAACGTAGAAGCAAAAATATGGAACATAAGTTTAAATAGTAATAAATCTATAAAAAAACGCGTTATTAAAGACATGAGAAGCACGATGTAGTAGCTTACTATTAAGAAATTTCAGATAGTCACAAATTAATTAAACGTTCATTACAAAAATATAAGTTTTATAGTTTAAATGCTAAAAAGACAGCATGTTTTTCGTTAAATTTGGGAGTCTGGACGAATTTAACTCGTTGTATTTTTTTTAATGTGCAACTTATATTAATATTAAGAATATGTTGTAAGAGTTTAAGAGATGTATAACCTAATTAAAATACATCCATTACAATTTACACACTATGTTGTTTTCTATAAGCAATGAAAATATGAGAATATTTTTTCATCAAAAAGTGGCAAAAACGACGGCCTTACCCTGTTTTGACATTTGATTATTTGTCGAGGATTGTGGAAGGCCGGCAACGCTGCCTGCGTAGGGCAATATCGGAGTAATTGCAGGTGCAATCCTTCTGATATTGCAGTTGTTTATGGATAACGGAAGTCACTTATCATCTGCGTCTCACCCGCATGCTCGTTTGCAAAAAAAAATTGTTTCAATGGATCACAGAATTTACTTACAATAAGGTGGATTATATGTTTATTTGTCGCCCTTATATATATATATATATATATATATATATTTTTTTTTTTTATATATATATATATATATGTCGGAGCGGAAACCTCGAGGTTGTTTTTATGGTGAGGCAGCACCACTGTCCCCATTTGACAAGGTTTCAGTCGTGCATATATGGTATATTGTGTCCATTATAATGAAAGATCACACACTTTTAATTCTATACCACCATAACTTTATTCTACACTTCTTTTTATAAAAATTTACAAATAATAATCACTCTCTTTGTTTTTCTTTCTTTTTTAAAAAGAAAAAGGTTTAAGATCACACACTTTTAATTTTATACCACAATAACTTTATTCTACACTTCTTTTTATAAAAACTCACAAATAATAATCACAAAGCTTTAGCAGGAAAATAGAACTACACCGACGAGGGCAGGAACTGAAGTGAGTCTATTCCCGAGTTCATACAATAATGAAAACGTAATAACGACTTAGGTGTGCTCTGATTAGTCAACGATTTGATTGGTCAATACTTCACTAAACAATAACTTTTTATTGAATTCATTAGGTTACTTAAGTAATTTCAATTACCAGGATTAATAATCAAATCGACAATTATTTATTCTACGATTTAAAACAATATTTGAGATCGAATAAATAGTTGTTTTAACAGGAATTAGTTGTCAATAAAGAGATTTGTAATCTAAAAGAGTTTTAAAGAACTAGCTAGTTACATGTTATGTTTCTGATAAATTGCTGTTATTAAATTGTAGTATTAATAATTATGCACTGTCATTATTATAATTTATAACAATTAAAAGAATGCAAAGTTAAGGCTTCGTCAACAGAAAATGTCCTTGCGGCGACATATATATATATATATATATATATATATATATATATATATATATATATATATATATATATATATATAGTCCACGTTTTGTCCACCATAAATAAGAATAAAAATTAACGATGTATTGATATATATTTAGAACTACAACAAAATGGTGCGTTCGGCAGAAAAAGCGCTAGCAAGCGCTTGTAAGCAAAATGGCGATCGTAATCGGTAAGCGCTGTCAACGTAGTAGCTATTTTCCTCAGGCGATGTTAGTTTTAACCGGGGAATCTAACCTAATTTAAATATAGTTTGTAAGTATGCATATTAAAAACTTACCAATCATGAGTTTTTAATAGCATGTATATGTCTATTCTGTCATTAGATTACTTAAAACTAATATTGCACAAAACTTTCTCTACTTAACAAATTAAATAAGCAAAATGGCGGATTTAGTACTGAAGTAGCAATCGCTGCTATTTTAGGCTTATAACCTTGCTAGTTTTTTCTGCCAAACGCACCCAATGCCTAAAATTTTTAGTATTGAAGCCTCCGGTGCTCTGCAGCAGACATTGAGTATGCGTCAATGTTTTCAGTGTTATTTAATACAAGCGTGCTTATAACATGCCAAACCGAAACAAGAATCTAATTAGATGGAGTAAGGCTTTGCCAAATTCTCTATCACTGTTTTTTTTACATTTTATTTTTAAGGTACAACGTCCTACAGCTATGAAGCAGAATCTTGATTTAATTTTTGAAAGAGTGGTGTAGAATGAAAGAGAAGTTAGTTTGCTCCAGAGAAAATGGATTGACTTCTCATACCCTACAAATGTGTGTCGGCCAAGTTCAAGAAAATAAGAGGGCGACGCATCGGTAGAGTTTATATTTACAAAAACTATTTCGAGCCATTTTCGAACTCAAAAACTATACGGTCTTACACTTATGATTTTGCATACATCATAAGAACCATAAAATACCTAATAAACTACTAATTTCATGAATAAAGTATAAAATAAATCGATAGTTCCAATAATGTTGTATATTCCTATTGATCCAATGGCTTAAGGTTTAGGTAAACTGCTAAATGGATCTTGGCGCCTGGTTAGATCTCAACCATTTTATCGCCGTACGACGTTTTTACCGAACTGTTTACCCCTTTTTCACATTTGTGTTTTTAATTTTAAGATATTCAGCTTTCCGCAGTCTTTACCTTAACTGCCAAGCACATAATCAAAATACGCAGACGCCTCGTACTTTAAGATGCTGGTAGGTACTCATCGCTGATCTGAGTATTTTATATTTAGCGTAACGAAATGGCGTCCGAATCTAAAGGAAGCTATTTAAATATTTAAGCAATAGAGAAGATTTTTCTGATATTTTCAATAATAGTTCAAGAAATGGGGTAGCGCAGTGTGCGTCCTATCAGCTTATGTCATCATCACCATCCTCATTATAGCTCTTAGTATTGGCACTGCTGATCATTGGCCTGCCCCAAAAATTCCACAAAGCAAGGCTTACGTACTACAGTATAAAATTAAAGGCGCTTCGGCCGTTACGTTTAATTTTTTTGTAATTAAAAAACCAAATTATCTTTACCTGTCAATACAATTTGATTACTGAACATTAAAGTTTAAAATTAATATTGGTCACTAAAGTAATCTGAATACTGACCCCGATTAACATCAGCAGATTCCAGTTGCTTATTTTATGGCTGCCCTTAATTACTTCTTATATTTAAACAATCATTTTAATACAAAGCTAATGCTAAGTTGTAAAAAGCAAATTCTTTTGAAATCGTTTTAGCATTTTATAAATATTCATAAATATCATAAATTTTGCATAAAAATGTTTGCTTCGGGTTGATTTAAATTTTAAATTATTGTTCATATTTTTCTTTTTGGGAATTATTTTAAAAATTGCACAATATACCTACTATGAAGGTTGATAACAATTATCTTTCATATTGCATAATCCTTACTTAACGCGTCAATCAAGAACAAATAAAAAGCAAACTAGAAACTACATAAAGCCAACTGTCGGACATAGTCCTTTTCTCATTCCTGAAAAAGCTCTGTACAAAAAATAAATAACCGCGCTGATGAATGAATAAAATGCGCTTAATGAATGTAAGAAAGTCTTTGAATATATTAAAAATTTAAAATACAACAACCAAACTTTGATAGATAGTCAAAGAAAACTTGGTTTTATCGTTTTTTTTTTTTGACGAATACAATAGCTTTAAAGTGGCTTCATGTTGATTTTATTGAGAATAAGGAAAATTAAAGTTTCTTCCGATCTATAAACTCTTTCAAGCTCGTTTAGAAACTTTTTTAGTGCAGTACGTTCTAAAAGAAGAACGAAAATATATTTCGAAAACTAGTAAACGAATGCCTTGTGTCCTGCAAAAATTACCTTGACATACATATGTATGATTCGCCTGCAATATCAAATAATAAACACTTAATTATTAAATTAACTATTAACTTACAACTATTATATTAACTTACAGTCCACCTGACAGTCAGGGGCTGCTCCAGCCCACGTACACCTAATGCCAACTTTAAATAAAGGAGATTTCACCTGTGAGGACTGAGATGGAATACCTCAAAGCCTATCATACTAGCCCACTATACACTTCAGACTGAAACACACCCACACAGCTGCTGGTGGCAGAAAATAAAAAGAGTAGTTCCAATCGGTGATGTAAACCATTTCTCAAAATATACTATTCTTATTTTTTTTAATTATATTCGATACTAAATATAAATACTAATTTTTGCAACCCAATATTAAATATGTTTTTCCAATGATCCAATGCAAACTGACGGACGTCACAATGTTTTTTTTATAGGATAGGGTGACAAACGAGCACACAGTCCACCTGATGGTAAGTGGTTACTGTGGCCCTTAGACATCTACATCTATCCTCGTTTACGAATCAAAATGCAATGCGTTGTCACCCGTGAGGACTAAGATGGAATGCCTCGTTTCCAGTAAAAAGAGTCTCCGGTTCTCTATACTCACCATACAGAACACAGAAGCATTAAACTACTATTTTACGCTGGTATTCTGTGAGAGCGTGGCCCTTCCCCGGTCGAGCCAGCCCATTCGTGCTGCAACTATACTACTAATAAAACTGCAGCATAGCTCTACCACGTACAGAGAAGAAAGTGTTTAAAATGTCGAATAAATATTTCGATTTCTCACACTAACTAGTCCCCGCACGATGTTTTGCTGCGTCGCCGAGCACTTGAACTTGCAATAAACAATTACAACTGTGCCTCCGGTGAATGAACGAACTATTATAAAACCTTTTTTTATATAATATGGACAAACATTAAGATCCGGATCGATTATTTGTCAG